TAGAATGCTGGCCTTGTAATCCTGGGGTCTCGTGTTCGATTCCCGGCGGTGCCCGAATTTATATCTTGTGTTGGGCAAGGCCGTGGTCTAGGTAACACGGAGTTTTCCTCCGTGGCATCCCAACAATTACTCCATTCACACCCAGAAGAAGGCAATGGCAAACCACTTCTGGATCATCTGCCAAGAACGTATATGAACAGGTCCCAGTCCGAGAAAAGGATGGAAGGATCCTGTTCATATGGACCTGCCGTCAGACAGAACACTAAATAAAATAAATAGACACAGACGAAACAAGAAACAATCGACAGGCGATACGTGATATATGTTGCTAAGAGTATGCATTTATTGATCAGTGACAGGCGATATACGAGTACGTCGAAAGAAACTTTTCTGTTATATCGCGTATGTTTTTTTAGGATGGTTGTTTCTAGGGATTTATTTAGTCATTTAATGATCCATCGTGTGTGCAGCGAATCACAGTGAATGGTAATCAGCCTACTAAAGAACAACAGACTATTAAGTTAGTGAAAATTATAGATCGTGTTGTATGCAATGAACAGCTCATTCACTCTCAAACTAGCAATTAGATTTCTTTGGTGTGAATATACAAGCGATATGATATCGAATATCGTTTGTTGCTAGTTTCTGAGGTGTGAAACCCGCCTAAGTCTCTATCGGAAACAGGCAAGGGGGTCTTGAACCGTGACAGATGAAATAATGATATTCTTGCGAGCAATAAACAATGCTTTTATCTTATAATTTATAGACCCAATAAAATTCTTTCGTAGGTTTTTATTCGTTTATACCTCCGTTTTTCTGTATCTGGTCTGGCTACTTAGCGATTTATAGTGCAAACGCAATCTATGTCCTCAGCTGTTCGTTGCTTGGCAACCGCTGTCACTACGTACCGACCAACGAGAATACACAATAATATTATATAAACAAGGAATGTTATTCTGAGATTTGAGATTTTGTCAGCGGTCTGGTGGCGATGATCTGGGTTTTGTGCTCAGTGTACATGGCAATGTTTATACGAAACGTTGCCATCTACCTACGATTTTGCGCGGCGCCAAAACCAAGAACAGCAATATTAAACAACGTTATTATTCCAGCGACTTACAGGTTATTATGAAGAGGCTATCTCGAGCATTCTACGCCATACACTCACAATACTTGGAGAATTTTGGTTCTGAATGTGGGTAAGTTCGTGCACCGACAATCTGTGTGATATCAAATCTAAAACTTCTTGACGATGGTGAAGAGTCAATTGAATAAAAATTTACTTGGATATTATCCATCGTCTAGTAATAAAACGTAAAAAACGTAAAACGACGTTTCGGAGATGGGACTCTATCTCCGTCTTCAGGTTCCTACTCAGTTGGGCCCACTAGATAGAGCTAATCCCTATCTCCGGATCTCCGAAAAGTCGTTTTACGTTTTATATTTACTAGACGATGGATAATATCCAAGTAAATTTCTATTCAATTGAATCTGTGTGATGTTTGTACGTGTCCTGCCCCGGAGCACCAGGCAGCTGACACAACACCGTCCTTGTAACGACGTCAAAAGATGTCGACCTGCCAACCGTTCTGGTTTTATTTGT